TTCTTGAAATTTTAGCATATGCCACTGATTGTATGCTTTACTGTTTCCCCTTCTATGTTGCCGGTAACAGATTCTCCTCACAACACCCAAAAGAGAATAATATTCCTTTCCCCATCTTAGAGGGCAATGAAACCAAACACCAAAGCATTACTCCCAAAGATCTCACCTTTTTCATGATCTTATTATTTAATTTTTTGATGACAAGGCGCAGCCACTACTCTTTGGGTGCGCACAGGGTAAAAGCCCCGCTCCTATGCAATAGCTCACAAACCAGATAGAAGAGGTAACCCGCACTAGGCAAGCCCGATGCAACGAGCTCGACCCAGAAGGCAAATCCCTTGCTTTCGCTGGCAAGGGGTTTCAAACTTGAGACCTCCAACATGGAAGTCCCAAGCCCAAACCACTGGGCCACGCCGAAGGGTTGATCTTATTATCCTGATGTTGTTACTACTTATGACTTCATAAATGTTCTGTTTTTGCTTTCCTTGAGCCGAGGGTCTATCGAAAACAACCTCTCTACCTGTCAAGGTAGGGGTAAGATCTACGTACACTCTCTGTTTCCTTAAATATACCAATCATCAATCAAACACCTTTTTAAGCAACCGCAAATCCCCAAAACAATGAAAACACATCCATGAACATTAAAAACATAAGAGAAAAAACAAATAATCACCTTATCAGGATGAAGATAAACTTTATCTCTGAATAGCAATATAACACCAGCCTCATCAAGAACTCTAGCAAAACCAACAGCTTCATCATGGGTTTTAGCCACACCCATATTCTGACACGCCTTTAACAGATCCATATACCCAATAACCTCCGTATTCTTCATCCCCAATTTCCACTTCAGCTCCTCAACATTCACCAATCTCATCAACCTCTTAGCTTCTTCATGAGTAATACTATCCCCATTCACATTCCCATTCTTGTTTTCCCCACTTCCATTTGACCCAGAGCTAAAATAGTACCCACCCACCATTCGGGTCGGGCCACAATAGCACCCGAACTTATAATCCACACCAAAAAACGGCCTCATCCCATTGTTAATCGTATTTGTCCTAGCAACCGATGTAAGTGTCCGTTTCAATAAATTACAGGAATTTTTCCACATCTTTGACAAATTAAAGTTGAAATTGGGAATAAGAGTTGAAATTGTTGAGAAAGAGAGTTTTATAAGAAACGAGAATGGCGGTATGGTCTTGTAACTGTTGAAATGGAGTTTACGAAAGCCATCAGAAGTCCGGCAAAATGAGAGAGAAAATAGGGTTACGAGCAACGCATTTGACACGGTCACACGCTTCAATTGATGCGACACATGTTCTTTTACGAAACTTCCTAAGTAATACAAAACATTGTAGTGTCAAGTGTGTGCTCTTTTTTTAATTTTTTTTGGATAAAGTGGGTCATTGAAAAGATTTGATGCCTCTAAGACCATGGTCTAAAATTGATTTGATGTGGTTAATTCAAATTTATATTTTATGTATAAAATTCCTCTCATGTGATTTGAGATTTTAATAGATTAAATTATTATAATTATAATATTTCAAAAAACTCGTTCTTAGTTTTGATGGGAGGTTGTTATAAAGTAGTTAGATGTTTCTTTAAGGATTCAACTAGAGAATGAAGAAAATGAAAGACTTTTTTGAGACAAAGATAGATTGTCAAGAACATTATCACTCAACGGAATAAAATTATTCTAGGAATAATAGGTTGATTCTCCCCAATAGTTCATGTCGGTGAAAAGGTTTAAGTTTAACCATTTTGAATAACGTTTGCATCCTATGTATTAATACCGCGGTTGCTAGCACAAAGTTAGTTGATGCTTTAAAAAAAAATGTTTTTGATAGACCTTTACATGAGAGAAACTTAAACTTAATTACTCTTGTAAAAATTTGTTCTTCTTCCCAATCATTCACGTGTCATATTTTTTCATTTAAACACCCCTTAAAATGTGTTTTAATATTTGTCAAGCACTTCAAAAAATTAAAAATTTACTTAAAAGTAGATTTGACCAACTTTTAAGTCATCCAAACACTCTCTCAAGAGGGTGATTATACATACCATAATTTGTATGTTGTTAAAAGGGACGATCCCCTTTTATTACTTTATTATTATTTTTATATTATTAATAAAGCGAAATAATTGCTTGACAATGAAGAATCCACTAACAAACATGGCAGGAATAAATTCATGTCATAGACTTGATTTAAGAAAAAAAATTTTTTTTTTAATCTTTGAATAAAATAAAACAAAGATTCTTATTATTGGCATACCTTTCCTTGATAGTATAAAAATTATTCTGACTCAAGTCCCTTTGGGTGATGTTATTCGTTTAAGAGTTTATGTTATAATTTTTTTAAAATAGTTAATACGATACAAAATTATTTGCTTTAGTACATAATTAAATCCTTTTATTTTAATATTATAATTGAAATAGTGGATGTGTGTTGACTGGACACAAGTATACGAAAAAGTAGGTATTTACAAACAAAAAAAGTCAGTCATTTTTTTCAAACGATGAAAGAAATTCAATTTCTTGGCAAGGCATGTCAAATTTGACTTGCACGTAGGGCAATTTGAATCCATATTAATAAAATGAGTCTATTTTATTCATATTTAATGACGTGGGTCGCTCATATTTTAATTGATTAAATATGGGCATCAAACTATTTTAAGAGTCTCTTCAAATATGATCAAAATGGGTTAAATATGGGTATCCATATTGACCCATAATAGATCACTTAGGGTCTGTTTGGAAAGACACTTGGTAATTGGAATTGGTGTAATTACAAGGGTAGTAATTACCAGCCTAATAATTACACTGTCTAGTAATTACACTGGCATGTTTGGTTCCCGCAGTGTAATTACACTGTAATTACCCATGTCATGTTTGGATGTCATAGTGTAATTACATATGTTTTGTTTGGAAGCACAATTGCAATCATAAAATTATAATAAAATTTAAAAATAAAAATTAATTATTTAAAATTTATACTAGACAAATAAGAAACTTTATAAATGACATTAAATTAAATATTTAAGATATATATTATTTTTTGAATTATATTAATTAATAAACATATTTTATGTAACTAATATTATGAAAAAATAATTGATTTATATTTTTTCAAATTAATATATTTCAATTGAATTGATCGTAACAACTAAAAGTATGAAGTTTCTACGAATATCATGAAATGAATGTTTGATAAAAAGAATAATATATAAATAAAATGTCATACATTATTAAATGTTTGATAAAAATATAATTTATCAAGTCTAATTAAAAAATGACGTGCAATGTAAATTCAATATTACTAAAACAAATGAAACTAAAAATATAACATAAGTTATAAATTCAAAGCAAAAAATTTAACATAATACTCTTATAACAAATTTCAACATAGCAATAATTATGATTTATTTTATTTTTTCTTAATAAAGAAAACGTAAGTCTATAACCTTACTTAACAATAAATTCTATTTTAATTTAAAAATTCAAATACTAATAAAACTATGCCAATGAGAAAATAAGCATGGCATTAAGAAATAGATAATACGAGAAAATTATGGAATCACGTAAAGTAAAGTTCAGAACAAGAAGAAAATCAAATATAATAATAAAAAATAAAAAATAAACTTTTACAAATTTTTAGAATAATAAAAAGAAAAAAAGAACTTAAAATAATAGAAGTAAAAAAAAATAATTAAAAAGTAATCAGGTGGTAATTACACATGTAATTACCAGAGGCGTATGCACCTGAAGGGGAGGGGGTTCACATGCACCCATCCTCCCCTTCCTAACCCCTATATAATACTACTATTTTTCTAATTATCTTTTTAAATTTGTATTGGTGAACCCAAGGTTAAAAAGAATACTCTAGTATATTGATAAGTAAGTACAAATAGGGGGTGCATAACTTATAGATTTGTGGTTCAAATTTTTCTATCCACATTAACATTTTTAATTTTTAATTTTTAATTAATATAATAAAATGTGTCACTTTTCATAGATCTTTTTAATAATTTATAAATAAAAAGAGGTTCAATTACCCATATTTTTAGGTTACATTAGCTATGTCTAGACCTTAAGCTAGAAGTGTCAATAAAGTCAAATTATATTTTTTACTTTCTTTTTCTCCTTTCCTTCTTTACTTAGACGTTTTTCTTATTTTACTTTTTCTTTTGACTTTTCAAAGCCCTAAACTAAAAGGTAAAAAGGAGTAAAGACATCATATTGTTATTCTTTTGGCTTCATTCCACATTTCCACTTTGTTGTTCATGGTGAAGTAGAAGTGAGATTTGAGAACAAGTAACAAGGTATGTTTTCTAAAAAAAAAATTATTTATTAATGTACTTCATTTGTTTTATATGTTTTTCTTGATTTATATGTGGTTCCATTATTTGATTGCTTGAATATTTAAATTTATAAGAATTTCTTGATTTCTAAATAGTTATCTATATGTTTTTCTTGATTTATGAAGTGGTTCCATTATTTGATTGCTTGAATATTTAAATTTATAAGAATTTCTTGATTTCTAAATAGTTATCTAATAATTGTGATTCTTTTATTAGTAAACTTGTTATTTGTGCTAATATTTTTTAAAAATTATTTTGTTTTAATAAGATTGAATAGAAGGGTGAATATTTAATTTTGTAGGTAAAATAATTCTTACAATCAATTCATCAAATCACAAATGGATAAGTTTCTCATCAAGTTACCAAAGCCAAAAGATGGCCAACCAAGTTCTAGCTCTAATCAACCATTTGTGAGTTCACAAGTTGCTCCGGAAGTTCAAAGACATACAAATTCTTTTCCACTTTCAAATATGGATAATATGCTTGATTTTAAATCTCTTGAAGCAGATCCCAAAGATCGAATGCCTATTTCATCTTATGGTCCTAATATTTGAGATGCGGTAAGGAGGTATTACATTCAAAAAAAGCCATGTCAGCCTGTTGATCATATCTTCCCTAAAACTAAGTTTGGAGAAAAAATGCGTCAATTTCGACCAACTTGGTTTAAGAGAAGATCTCAATGGTTGGAATATAGCATTAAAGCAGACGCGGCATTTTGTTTGTGTTGTTATTTGTTCAAGAATGAACTTGAAAGTCGTGGAAATGCCGGAGATTCATTTACAAGAGATGGTTTTAGGTGTTGGAACAAAGCTTTAGAAAGATTCAAAAAACATGTTGGTAAGGTAAATAGTATCCATCATAAATGTTTCAATAGGATGCAAGATTTGAAAAACCAACGCCAATCGATCCAATCTTCTTTTGACAAGCAAAGTGAAAAGGCAAGAAGTGATTATCGGATGCGTTTAAATGCCTCAATTGATGTAGCAAGATTTCTCTTGACATCGGGATTTCCATTAAATGGGCATGATGAAAGTGAAGGTTCCGAATATAAGGGTGCTTTTCTTGAACTTTTGAAATGGTATGGGGATAGAAGTTTTGATGTGGGAAGAGTAATATTAGGTAATGCTCCACAAAATGATATGATGATTTGTCCGACAATTCAAAAAGATATTGTGGAGGCTTGTGCTAAAGAAACAACTAAGGCTATCATTGAAGACTTGGACGGTGATTATTTTGGAATATTAGTTGATGAATCAAAGGATGTTTCTCATAAGGAGCAAATGGCTCTAATTTTGAGATATGTCAACAAAAGTGGAATGGTGATAGAGCGATTCTTGGGTATTGTCCACGTAAATGATACATCTTCTCAATCATTAAAAAAGGCAATTTATTCTTTGCTTTTGGATCACTCATTATGTACATCCAAAATACGTGATCAAGGTTATGATGGGGCTAGTAATATGCAAGGGGAAATAAATGGTCTCAAGTCTTTGATTTTACAAGATACGTCGTCTGCATATTCTATTCACTGTTTTGCTCACCAATTGCAATTGGCACTTGTAGGTCTTTCCAAAAAGAATTCGGATGTGGATAATTTTTTTTTATGTTCTCACTAATATTTTGAATACTATTGGAGCTTCATTTAAACGCAGAGATTCACTTCGACAACATCAAGAAGATAAGTTGGAAGAGTTGCTTAAATTTGGAGAAGTTCATACAGGGCAAGGTTTGAATCAAGAACGTGACCTCCAACGACCGGGTGATACTCGTTGGGGGTCTCATTTTAAAACCTTGGACAATTTCCTGATTTTTTTTTCTTCAATTGTTAATGTGCTTAAGGATATGAAACGTGATTGTCCATATCATCTTGATAGATTTGCGGCGAAAAATCTTTTGAGCAAGATTCATGAATTTGAATTTGTCTTTATGTTGCACTTGATGTTTAAGGTGTTGCTATTGACGAATGAGTTGAATAAAGTTTTACAAAAGAAAGATCAAGATATCATTAATGCTATGGGATTGCTTGACCTTTCAAAGAAACGATTGCAAATGATGAGAGAGGATGAATGGGACTCTATGATGGATGAGGTTAGCTTATTTTGTGGTAAACATGGAATTTCAATTCCCAAAATGAATGAAGACTACTCTAATGGGAAGTCGAAGCGTAAGAGGTCCAATATTTCATATTTGCATCACTTTCGTGTGGAAGTATTTTATGCCGTCATTGATTTGGCACTTCAAGAACTCAATAATCGTTTTGATGTGGTGACTAGTGACTTGCTTCTCGGTATGGCTAGTTTGAGTCCGGTTGATTCATTTGCTAATTTTCACAAGGATAGGATAATAAAACTAGCCGAGTACTACCCAAGTGAGTTTGGTGATAAAGAGCTTCGGGAACTCAATTTTCAACTTGATGATTTTATTGTCTATGCTCAAAAGTGTGATAGAAAGTTTCTCAACTTGAAGGGAATCAAGGATCTTGCAAAAGTGATGATAGAGACAAAACTAGATCAAACTTGGTCACTTGTGTATCTACTTGTGAAGTTAACTTTGATTATTCCTGTTGCTACCGCAAGCGTGGAAAGAACATTCTCATCAATGAAGTACATAAAGAATGATTTGCGTAATAGGATGGATGAAGATCTTTTGAATGGTTGTTTAGTTTGCTATATAGAGCGTAGTATATTTTAAAATGTAAGTAATGATGCCATTATTGACCGTTTTCAAAATATGAAAACTCGTCGAGGACAATTGTAAGTGAATGATGTTTTTTGCTAATAGATTACTATATAAAGATTGCTACTACCTATTTGCTCGTCAACTTGTTCTCACCGTAAAATTTATATAATTGAATTAATTGTCTATTTTGAAGATAATGGTGCCCCCATGTTCTTGAGATCCTGGATACGCCTCTGGTAATTACCAGCAATTCACAGCATCTGCCTGTGAATTGTAGAGTGTAATTACCCCCTGCCAATTACACCAATTAACTGCTGACCAAGTAATTACATGTCCTTCCAAACATGACAAGACAGTGCAATTACACCAATTACACCAAATCCAATTGTCAGGGTGTCCTTCCAAACAAACCCTTAGTTTTCACTTCCACTTAAAATTCTTAATTGTGCTAAAAAATAAAAAAATTAATATTGATTTTTAAAAATTCAATTAATTTTCAAACTGAATTGAAAAAACAAATTTCTTTTTTTTGTTTTTGACAAACAAAAAAAAATTAGGAGTGGGTTGGTGGAAGGGGGGCTCCCTGGAGGGTGGGGGGTGCCCGGAGGAGGGAGTAATTTTTTTTTGTTTGTGAAAAAACAGAATTTTTTGTTTTTGGAAAATAAAAAAAAGTAGGGGTCGGTTGGTGGGGGGTGGGGGGGGATGGGGTAAAATTTTTTTCTTTTTTTGAAAAAACAGATTTTTTTTGTTTTGTTTTTGGAAAACAAAAAAAATTAGGGGTAGGTTGGTGGAAGGTGTGTGGGGGGGTGCCCGGGGGAGGGGTAAATTTTTTTTGTTTTTGGAAAATAGAAAAATTTAGGGGTCGGTTGGTGGAAGGTGGGGGGTGCCCGGGGGAGGGGGTAATTTTTTTTTTTGTTTTGTTTTTGGAAAATAAAAAAAGTTTAGGGGTAGGTTGGTGGAAGGTGGGGGGATAAAAAAAAAAATTGAAAAACATATTTTTTTAAAATGGGTTAGAACCATTTTACCGAAATCATATTTGACCAAATTAATATTTACCCATTTTCTATTTGTGTGAATTGTAATCCAAATCATTTTTGCTTAATCCATATTCAATCCATCCAAATCTGATCCAATCCAACCATTTGTCACCCCTAGTTGCACGGCTGCCTTTGATCTCTTCATTATCCACTAATGTATAACACGTCCTTTGTGATGTTATTTTCATTTATTTTGTATCTTCGTCAAATCAAATTGTCGGCCGTGTGGACTTGAGAATCGATAGATTTCGTACACAATTGCAGCGCAAAATCAAGTTTTTTCATGTCACAAGCCAAAGGAATAAGCATGTGAAATGTTGCAGAATCCGGTAGGGAATCATTTAGCACCATCTTCTGATACCACATGTTTGCCTGCTCCAAATTCCCTTCATCAACATACACTTTAATCATATTATCGTAGCTGAATTTATCCGGTTTGAAACCCTTCTTAACGATTTCCTCAAACAACTGAATCGCCTTTGAAACCTCAGCAACTTTAAGTAAACCTCGTAATCTAATATCATAACTGCAAATATCAGGAAGAATATTTCTCTTTTCCATCATAACCCACAAGTTTTCAGCCTCAGAAAACCTTTTACTATCACAAAGTGCTTTTAACAATGTATTACAAGTCACAATATCCGGCTTAATCCCATGCTTTTCAATCTCATCCATCAAAAGCACAGCAGAATACACAGAACCAGCCTTGCACAACGCCTTCATCGCGACGTTATAGGATATTAAATTAGGCACAATTGGCAATTTCTAGGGTAATTCACGAAACAGCAAGCCAATTTCATCATATCTCTCTGATCTGATGCATGATTCCAAAAGGACGTTGAAGGAATAGACAGTCCGCTGACAATCTAGTTGAGGCATTTCGTCGAACAATTTACGTGCATGATCATACATCTTAGCATTCCCGTACAGAAGGATAAAGCAGCCTACAAAGGATTCGTCTCGAATATCTGGGTACTGTTTTTGATGTTCGATAACTTCTTCAATACCGGAGAAGTATTTGGCTTTGGCAAGGCGGTGAACGGCGATATCATAATTGAAACGGCGGCGTCGGAAATCATGGCATATTGATGAACTTTTCATGAAATCTACAATTCCTTGGGGTGTGTGATTGGTGGGGTTTAAAGAGCTAATGGTGGGTTCGGTGGTTTTGACATCTATGATTTTTCTGGCTGATTTGCGGTTGTTTTCCGAGAAGATGCGTCGCAGACGGTGGACAGTTAAAAAAGTGGACATTTTTGATTGCTTAATTTGGCACGGAGTTGCAATTTGCCAGATGAGCTTCAAAATATTGAGTTATTACATGAACTTTAAAATTATCCATCCGTCCATTTTTACTAATCCACAATTTCGATATAATTTTGAAAATCAAAAGATAATTTATGTGCTAAGTATTTATGGTGAACCTTATCCTTATGGTGCACCTTTAACGCCTCTTTATTTCGCAAATAACATGAAATGAATGCAAGAGAATTACATCAACAATTTTCAAGTAGGGATAAGCCTCTGGGCAAATGCCACTATCCATAAACACTAAATCAGAATTTATATTTCTCTCTATCAGGAAAAAGCGCTAAAATGCCTTTTGACTGTAGGAAATAAAACAATAAAACGATTTTGCCCTCCGTTTAAATTTGGCCATGAATGTTCCCTTACCACACTGCAAAATGAACTACTGATGGCTAGTTGCAGCACCTGATGTACCATAGCAGTTTTCTCAATAAAAAATACAAAACTGATGTGTTGATTCTTATTGAGGTAAAGAATCACCTAAGATGCTTTTAGTTCCACGGATATGGTCGATTAAAAGTTTATCCTTGTTTAAACTGACTGCCTCCTCTATTCTCCCACTGTCAGCCCAAATCCGAACTTGTAATCTTTCTTTTTATGATCAATCTGCAGGCACCATCAGGAGCAGATTTTATAACAGTTGAGTAGCCAAAGTGCATGAGATAGAGACTTGTAAAAGCACGAAAGTTGTTTTGAAAGTAAATGCTCAATTACCTCGGCAGAAAGAATGAAATTAAGACCCATGTTCAGGCGTTCTTCCAGGAAAGCAGCAGCACAGCCGTTGGAATCAATCTTTCCTCTAAGACGACACTGCAATGCACACAATATTACTGATTTTGACCACCTTTAATATAAATGAGCCAACTATAGCTATGCACCCAAAACAACATGAGAAGTCCAAACATAGACTTATAGTATTAACTATCTTGTGATCATCCAATTGGAAATACAACAACTGAAATTCAGGAAACTTGTATTCCTTTGTAGTTTGCAGCAGCCTCTAATTGTGCTGTAGTGACAAAAGACAAATTGAAATGTATATAGCAGTTAACACTTGCTGAAAGTATTTCTATACCTAATCTTGCATGAAATGTCAATAAGAAAGTGCTTAATAGCATATGTTACATTTTATAAAAGGGATAATTTCAGGTTATTTGCGGGAATGAGGCAATAGAACCCTCCCCACTCAGTTTCTTCTTCCACCAGAAAAAGAAGAAGCCACCTTACACATTTCAACTGATGAAGGCACCCCAATAACCAAAGAAGTAGTTCAATCGCAAAAACCCCAAAAGATGTGGGTCCAAGTCAATTGGAAATACAACAACTGAAATTCAGGAAACTTGCCTTTGTAGTTTGCAGCAACCTCTAATTGTGCTATAGTGACAAAAGACAAATTGAAATGTATATAGCAGTTAACACTTGCTGAAAGTATTTCTTTACCTAATCTTGCATGAAATGTCAATAAGGAAGTGCTTAATAGCATATGTTACATCTTATAAAAGGGATGATTTCAGGTTATGTGCGGGAATGAGGCAATAGAACCCTCTCCACTCAGTTTCTTCTTCTGCCAAAAGAAGAAGAAGCCACCTTACACATATTTCAACTGATGAATGAGAGGAGATGCAAATGAGAAAGCAAGCATGAAAGCATGCTGCATACACAATATGCACATGGATCATCTTTGCATAACATGGACACGGAAGAGGTGGTAGTCAAAGAGTCTTTACAGAAGGGAATGAGAATATTGACGTTGTCCTGGTATCAAGGCATCAAAAAATCAGCAAAAATGATCTCCTTGGCATCAAGGTGTCAAAAAATCAGCAAAAATTAAATTTAAAAAGATAATTTTGCCAGAATTAAACATGCACACCATTTGAACTAGCGCACATGATTGCAGCAGACCAGCAGTGCAACACACTCATCAAAACCAGATGACAGATAGATACTGAGTAAACTACAACTTGCAAGTGCAAAGCTTTCCAGTAAACATTTTTAATAGTTTGTTTACCACAGAATTACCTGCCGAAGGATGTAATCATAACCAACGCTTGCTGTTACATCCCTAGACATATAGTTGTACATAAAGTCTGATGCTAGAGACACCTGCATGGAAGAAAGTCTTTAAGCAATTACCAAACCCACTCATCATTAACTCTATCTCTAGAAAAGGAAATGCCTTTGTAAGACCTTGTCAGAAACTTTCTGAACATAGCCCAGTGCAACCATTCCAGTGCTAGCAACTTGCCCTGTAGCAACCTGCAGGCAGAATGAAACATGCACTACTTAACAGAAAATTTGAATCAACTAAGCAAGTTGTAACACACTCATTAAGCAAAAACCATAAATATTAAATTCTGGCGAAATCAGCAAATAACAACACAATGACTAAAGGTGCTACTGTAAACTGATTAAATATGTTTTATAAGGAAGAGAAGAAACAGCGTCGATTCCATGAAATTCTGTATCACGAAAATACTAAGACAAGCTACAATATAAAGCAATTTGCTTTCCAGAAAACCTTTCAAATTTAATCTAAAGGAGTTTATAATACAGAGAACAGGGAGATCCCAACAATGGCCTCAACTCTTCCAGAGATTTCTTTTGAAGGAACTTACTAGTCAAACCCTTTAAAAAGAGAACAAAATACCTAATGGTAAAAATTGAAAT